AGGGAAAGAGAAAACAGTTCTATTGCTTTCGAGGGCAGAAGTGGGACCAATGAATAGAGGAGTAAATCTTTGGTGAAACACAGATTTTTTTTTTTTATTACAAATATTCAATTGTACTTCTTTTCACGACGAGCTCTGTCACTGGATGTGTGCGAGCAGGGGGTGGAGGCCTCCACGTCAGAGTGAAGCTGCCAGGTTGGGTGGGGGCAGGAGTCCTTCCAGTGCCAAACCGCTTGCTTGAACTTAGACTGCAGACAGTTTAACACAAAAATGTTTTAAGTTTGTTGTGTGTGATTTGTTTCAATGATAGGCAGTAGATGAAAAAATGTTTTTTGATACATTGGGGAAGTTCCGGGTTTTTTGATAGATTGGAGAAGTTCCGGAAGTAGAGCTGCTACTGTGTCGCTGGAACAGACGTGTCCTTGGGCAGGACGCCAGTGTAAGCTGCTGGTGGTGAAGTTACCGAGACGGAGGGGTGGGGTTGGGAGCTACCCGTGCTCTGTCCCCTGAGCACAGCACCTGCTCCCTTGGAACAGGTGCTGCATGTCCTTCCCTTTGACCAGGATGCTCAAGCTCCATCTCCAGTGAAATAACCAAAGGTCACAGTCTACCCTGGAGGAAGGCCCCCCGTGTGCTCATTGGCACTGGGGTTTTCAGAGCTGACCAGAGCCCTTGCTGGCCGCTCTGCTGACCCACACCGAGAGCACTCAGACCCCCACCAACCAGAGAACTGGGAAAGGAAGGGTTTTTCCTCCTTCCCTCCTCGTGAGGGTGGGGTTGCCTGGTTGAGGACAGCTTTTAGCAGCACCACCCATTTCAGTTTAAATGATTAACTTGTCTCAGATGACATAATAAGTAGGTTCAGCCAGTAACATCAACCAAAAAGGAATGTTTTCATCACCAAAAGTGGAATTGAGTTTCCTAACATGAACTAAGTTGGGAGGAGTGAGTTGAGTCCTGCGCTGAGACTTCAACAGTTATAACTTAGGAGAGCGTCCCTTGGGGGAAGGAGAGGGTGGGGTGCAACAGGGGTGAGGAGGGGAAGGATCATCTGTCCGTCCCTCCCCCTTCCCCCACACCGCCCCCTGGCGTTTAGTCGAATTTGAGTTTTACAAAGGGGGCTGGCTAGCATGGCATAGTCTATCTGTTGCCCCCATTTTCATACACGCACAAAGTACCGTGTGTGTCGGTTGTTCCCTGGGGCGGGAAAAAGAAAACAGCGTGAGAGTGGAAGTATGGAGTTGTGTTCTGGGCGGACAGTGGAGTTACCAGTCCCAGCTCCTTTCACTCCTGTCCATCTCATGTACTGCTCTGAAACCTCTAACTTCCTCGAGTTTTCCATTCGTTTCCTGCTACGAGAGGTGCTCTCTTGCAGGGCGCGGCACGTGTGTGGTTAAAAGCGCACCCCACTGTTCAGACCTCGGCTCTGCCACTGACCAGCTGTGAGGCCTCTTGCAGGATATTTGTGCCTCAGCTTTTCACCTGTAAAAAGAGAATCATTATAGGATCTACTTCAAAGGCTTGTTTTTGAGATGAAATGAAATAATACATGTAATGCATTTAAGAAATGCCTGGGACGTAGGAATTCCTCAATGTTAGCCATGATAATAATTGTTGTTATTATTAATCTTGAGATAGATGAGGAAACATTATAATATTTAAAACGTAGGTTTCTGTTCTCGCATCTATCTCAACTATGACTGGGAGAAACTACCTTCAAATTGCCACATGGCTCATCAGAAAAACCTCTTACCAAGAATTTTTGTTAAGGCCTTCCATTTAAAAATGTATATATTGTCATTGTCAGGTGGGCAGAAACAGCGAATTGCAATTGCCCGTGCTCTGCTTAAGGTAAGCCCGAAGCCCCTCGGCGGGGGTTGGCATTGTTCTTAATCAGGGACCTTGTAATTTGTAATGTGCAACCTTTCTTCTTCCTTTTTCTTCGGAAGGGGCGGGTGGGTATATGGTTGACAGTGCTGGTGAAAGATGAGTTGGGAATTCCACTGAGTACCTGTGGTCCAGATTTAGCAAGTGTTTCCTGAGTATTAGGAGCCAGAGGGAGAACAGTTTAACACACGGATCTTCCATCAAGAAGCATACAGAATATTTTAAAACAAGAACGTCTCTATGTGTGTAACTGAGTCACTTTGCTGTGCAGCAGAGCACAGCATGGTACATCAACTACACTTCAGTACAAAAAAATAATAAAATTAAAGAAGCGTACAGTCTAACTGGTGGAGTAGTGATTATATCAAAATACCAAAATAATACAAGTATGCTTACTTGTATAATCTGTAATCACCTGCTAAACTGAATAGTACAGACTTGAAATACTTATACAAGGCTCCTAAGAGGAGAGGGAAAAGCTGAAAGTCATAGACATTGTATTTTTTAGGAAATGATGGCCTTCTCCTTTGTTACATAACTATTCTCCTCAAATTTTTTTTTTTAAAAACAGCTTTATTGAAGCATGATTTACATATCATAAAATTGACTAGTTTTAAATGTACTTTTCAGTGACTTTTAGTAAATTTACAGAGTTGTGCACCCATCACACAATCCAATTTTAGAACATTTCTATCACCCTGATACCCTTTTGCAACCTTTCTGCCTTCCCCAGCCTGCCACTAATCTACTTTCTGTTTGTCTAGATTTGCCTTTCTGGACATTTCAGATAAATGGAATCAGACAAGATACAGTCTTCTGCTTCTAGCCTCTTTCAGTAGCATAGTTTTTGAGGTTCCTCCATGTTGTAGCCTATATCAGTACTTTATTCCTTTCCATTCCTTTGTATGGACAGACCACAATTTGTTTATAACCCAAATGTTAATGAACTTCTGGATTGTTTCCGGTTTAGGGCTGTTGTGAATAGCACTGCTCCGAATGAAGAGTGTACAAGCTTTTGTGTGGGCGTGTTTTCATTTCTTATGGATAGATTCCTAGACAAAGCTGGAATTTATGTGTTTCTCAGTTCTGTGTGTACTACTCCTAGCTAAACTGCAAGCAGGACCTTGAGAGTCTAGACTCCATCTGACTCACTTTAGAGCCCCACTTCACACTGTTAGTTGATTCACCAGCAGGTTAAAACTGCACTATGAAGAATATCCGATTCATTGATCACTGTGATCATGGTTTTTGTATGAGATCATGTGATCTCAGACACTTATGAGTTTGTTTTTCTTCTTTTGTAACAGCTTTATTGTGATAGAATTCACACACTCTACAGTTCACCCATGGAAAGCGTACAGTTCAGTGTTAGCGTATTCAGAGTTGTGCCTCCATCACCATGATCAATTTTAGAACATTTTCATTACCCCCAAGATAGCATCCACACACCACCCTGCCTATTTCCCCATTGACCCCAGTCCCAGGTAACGACTCTGCCCCTGCAGGGCTGCCTGTTGTGGACATTTCCTCTAAGTGGAATCACACACGAGGTGGACTTCTGTGTCTGGTTCCTCTCGCTCAGCAGAGAGTTTTCAAGGGTCATCCATGTTGTATCATGTATCAGCACTTTATTTCGTTTTATTACTGAGAGTTTGTGTTTTTCTAATAAAATTATGTTTTCTTTTCCTTTTAATGTTTTTCCTTCTTCAGAATCCCAGAATTCTTCTCCTAGATGAAGCAACCAGGTGAGGCTATCTTAATGTGTAATTGGATTAAACCAAATTCTTCCTCTATCACAAACTTTTATTCTGTTCTTCAAGTGATACGGCTGAGAATGCCTTACATTTTAAAGTCACGGGGTCTGAATCAATCATGACAGTTGGGAGGCAGTGAGCAGGCCGAGTCATGAGTTGAGGGTTCTGGTTCCAATTCAGACATTTGTGATGAATCCCTGATCACCAATCAGCAACTGTGCAAAATGCTTTTAACATGGCAGTAGTTCTATGGAGATCAAGGGTCCAAAGCTTCTTTTTTTAATAGTAACTTTATAATGTAAAATATAGATAGTTGACCCAAGAAGTTGCAATTTTGATCATAGTGAAAATTGGCTGCTAATGAGGGGCCAGTGTACGTGTACCAGGAAATACACGTGTGAACAGTGTGCGTGGCCCTGATGTCTTTGCTTTCCTGTGGGCTCTCCTATTTAGTGCACTGGATGCTGAAAACGAGTACCTCGTTCAGCAAGCTCTGGATCGACTGATGGAAGGAAGGACGGTGTTCATCATCGCCCATCGTCTGTCCACCATTAAGAATGCCAACATGGTAGCTGTCCTTGACCGGGGGAAGATCACCGAGTGTGGAAAACACGAAGAACTGCTTTCGAAACCAGACGGGATATACAGGAAATTAATGAATAAACAGAGTTTTATTTCAGCATAAAGAAGCAATTATTGGTAAACTTAATATGAGACACTTTAAAGCAAAGCAGCACTGCAGGAAAAAAATTTTTTAAAAACCCAGGCTGTATGAAATCTGTAAATCATACTTCAGGTTATTTGAAATCTGCCTATTTTTTCCAAAGATTGTAAAATATTGTTTTGAGATCGACCTGTTCTCAAGACCTTTTTATTCAGAGTTTTAATAATTGTAACTTTCTAAATGTCTAGTTCACTGAAGTTATTTTCAGGTTTTGTACTTTTATCTTGGAATATTTTGATTAATATAGCCTGGCACCTCACTTTCTTTTATCTGCTGTTATAAATTGAAGCTATTGTCAAATGACAACTTTTAAAAGGGAATTATAAATAAAGAGCCTAATTATTTTAGGCCACTTTACCAATCACTGTGTAATCTCTTGGTAGTACTCTACCTACTTTGGGTATCATTTTACCAGGTAGCATAATAGAAGGTGAAAATCTAACCCTTTATTTTATCCTGATAATCTCATAAAGCAAGCCTGATTGTGTGTGTGTGTGTGTGTGTGTGTGTGTGTGTGTGTGTGTGTGTATCTATATATATATCTATATATATATGTGTATCTATATATATATACACACACACAGAAATAGTTAACATCACATGGCAAGGAGGGATCAGGTATGTTCCCCATCTCCTCTCTTCAGAGGTGTGAAAGTTCAGGGACATGTGTTCCTCTGGGCTGAGACTGTTTGGATGTGTGCATTTTCAACATTTTTGGCACACGAGCACCTGATGAGTTGTGAAAAGGGAAGAGGCCCCATCCTTTGAATATGAGAACTTCTGATTTCATTACTTACATATTTGTTTCTGTGAATTTGGGAAGCCAGGTATTATCAAGAAAGATGTAAAAATGAATTTTACACTTATGTTGTCTGAGGCATGTATCTTGAAAATTATCTTTTAAGAGTTTATAATTCCTAGCCAAATTATCAGTTACTTAGTTTTGAAATTTCATTCAATTAGGCTAAATTCCAAAATCATTAATATAACTGTAATGTTCAACCTTAAAACATTTGAAGGAAGCTTATATGTTCTTGCAGAAGATCAAGAAACCTTAAGAGCTTTTCCCTCTTCTGAAAAGAGGACGTAACTAACCATCTTTTATTTGTGGTTATAGTTTTATTCACCTAAATTTCTGAAAATTCCTCAAGCAATGCTGACTCCATTGGATTTGTCGTATTTCATATCAGCACCATTAATTTGCTGTTGCCTCAAGAAAAAGTACTTTTCTACATTGATAATGCCAGAACCTAAGAAGCAACAATGTTGATGTGATTAAAATGGAAGTTTCCTCGTGTCCTAAGTATTGATTAGTTTCCTGATTACACTGGAAGAAACCACTATTTCATGATAAGCATGGAGTATTACATTTCATTCTACGTAAGGGAATTTATTAATGAATAAAATGAATTCAGTGAATGAATGAACTCAGTGTTCTTTGAATTAGTAAACAGTACATCTGTGACAGTAATTTTAACAAGCTTAACTTGTTTTCTTCATGGTTTACTACTATGGTATAGTTCTCAGAAAGCAAACAAATACAATCACAAGGTTGGATCTGAGGGAAATCTCTTTGTGCCATAGAAATATTTACAAAGTTGAATTTGATCATTATATTTTATTTTCTTATACAAGGTGTTAATTGTGTCTTGGGTAACATTTTATGTCATGGATTAAAATTCAAGCACATTACATTTATTGTGCACTTTATTATTATTACAGAGCGATGGGGAGCGGCTGTAAATACAGATGAAGCTTCGCTCGCTCACCCACCCTTCACCTCCTGCTGTGCGGCCTGGTTCCCAACAGGCCATGGACTGCTAGCGGTCCGTAGCCTGGGGTTAGGGACCCCTGATCTAGAAGATAAGCAAAAAGAAGTTTAAATCACGTGAAAGCCTCCACGTGAAGATAAAATGTCACATCAGTGAGCTTAGTGTTTTGTTGTCTGCTCTCCCAGGCTCCTCTCTGTGTAAGGTCTCTGACCTTGGACCTGACTGGTTCCCAGGAAATAATCACAAATTAAACCATTATAGGCTGTACCCTGTATATGTACTTTTATAAAGTAGGGCTCCACTTAGGGAAATCCATTTTATTCCATAAAAGTGCCAAAGCTGTTAGAAAATAAATGAAAAGAAATGTAAATGTTGTAAAACATTAAGTATATTAGTGAAAGAAGTATATGGAAACTGCATTGTAAATGTTCGTTTGAGGGTGTTTGTTTTTCTACGTTTTTACATCTGAGGCATCATGGAGCTTAGCTGGTAATCTCCATTCAACTCATTCAATAAACATTTATGGAGCATCTTCTGTTTTGTTAGGTCCTGTGCTAGGTGCTGGCTGCACCTCCCTCATGAGGCTGGCACAGGGGTCCACAAGCTGTGACCTGCTACCTGTTTTGTATGGCCTGCAAAGCTAAGGATGGTTTTTACAGTTTTAAATGGTTAAAAAAAAATCATAATACATGAAAGGTATATGAAATTCAAATTTCAGTGTCCATAAGTAGAATTTTTTTGGAACACAGCCATACTCACTCCGGGCAACAGACAGCAAGCTGGAGATTCTTCCTCTCTGGCCCTTGACAGAAAAAGTTTGCAGCCTCCAGCACGGGGGAAAACAACACACATCCTTCACCTGCTTGAAGGACGTTTAAACTACGCTGAAATTTAGAGTCATCTCAAGAAGTTCCATTGCCACTAGGTGGGCTCCTTGGAAATGACTGGGCCTGGATAATTTCCGTGACGAGTTCTTCATTGCACCCCTGCCTTTCCATTTGAAGAGGATCATAATTACTGTGTTGCTGAGAATGGAATTCTGATAGTTCTACCACATCTGCAGGAAATAATCCTGGCTGCTTCCCTATTGTTGACCGCAGGGGTGAGTCCCACATCAATCAGTGTGGTCTTAACAGAATGGGCTGAGTTTTAGGAAGGTTGGACAGAGGGAGGCACACCTAGGCTGAGAATCTTACACACACACGCTGCACTTGTGGGGTATTTTTCTTTTTATCTTAATGAAACAAAAATGGGCTTACGTTGGACATACTAATTTTTAACGAAACTTTTTTTTTTTTTTTTTTTTTT